CTTCAACCTCATCTTATATTTTAAAGTACAGTGAAAAATACAATAAATAGTAAGTTGTTGTAAACTGTATTAAAGGGAGTGTTAGCGAAAAATGAAAGGGGGTAAAGGCTTAATGCGATAAAAAAAAACGCTTTTGATCGCTACTAACCTTACTTCTATCTGTTGCGTCTATAAGGAGAAAAATGTTAAAGACGTCTCATAACGAAAAACTAAAATTGCAACATAATACAACTTAGACTGTAAAAAATCAATTTAATTTCAAACAAATCATTCAGATATTACAACCTATAGTCATCGATTATCTTTCGCTACATTTGTATATAGTTTATACTTTAACATATTTTATTTTTTTAGAAAACGTTTCAACGGATTTCGAAAAATGTGAGTGGTGCGCGGCATTCTTAGATAATTGCGCAAGCGACAAGAGAAATAATCAAATACAAAACAAATTAATTAAAAAATATTATAGAATATAAACTATATACAAATGTGGCGAAAGATAATCGATGACTATAGGTTGTAATATCTGAATGATTTGTTTTAAATTAAATTGATTTTTTTACGGTTTAAGTCATATGTTGCAATTTTCTGAATTTGTATGGGCGCTAAGTCATTCAGTATGAGACGTCTTTAACAATTTTCTCCTTATAGACCCAACAGATAGAAGTAAGATTATTAACGATTAAAAGCGTTTTTTATCGCATTAAGCCTATACCTCCTTTAATTTTTCGCGAACACTCCCTTTAATATGTACGCCTACCGTTTTAAACGCAGTTAGTGGTTAATGAGACCCGTAAACTGTATTAATATGTACGCCTACCGTTTTAGACGCAGTTAGAGGTACAATGAGACCCGTGAACTGTATTAATATGTACGCCTACTGTTTTAGACGCAGTTAGAGGTACAATGAGACCCGTAAACTGTATTAATATGTACGCCTACCGTTTTAGACACAGTTAGAGGTACAATGAGACCCATAAACTGAATTAATATGTACGCCTACCGTTTTATAGACGCAGTTAGAGGTACAATGAGACCCGTAAACTGTATTAATATGTACGGCTACCGTTTTAGACGCAGTTAGAGGTACAATGAGACCNATAATAATTAAAATAATTATAATAATAATTATAATAATAATAATAAAAATAATCATAATAATCATAATAATAATGATAATGATAATAACAACAGATATTGTAAACATGTCTTGTTATTCCTGAGAACTGTGCTAGGACCAAAGCAAATTATGATGTATATTTACATATGTTTGGAAGAATTGATTTTAACAATTGAATTCAACATAATATTTGAAGCCTCCATTGTATAAATATTTACTGGCAAGTATTCAGAGTTTCTTCATGTTTTCTTCTTTATTATTTTTATCATTTGAAAAGTATAAATAGCGAAGCCATATGAATCTATCTTCAATGATATTTTTAAATTTCCAAAAATAATTCGAAACATGAAACGTATTTTAATCTTAGAAGAGTTGATGATTTTTGTGGTTTATCTTTCTAGTAAGTTTATAGGCTTCATCAAAAGTATGACGGCATTCAGATTGCAGAGGTTAGACTATACTAACGAACCCTGGCAAAATAGAAATCTGAGTCTTGGACTGAATTTTTAATTTTTTAATTAAATTTGGTAGGCACCAATGAGTACATATGGTTGAACGAATCTTAGAAGCTTAATTTTTTGAGTCTACATTTGTACATTTGTGCAATTTTCAAAAATCTCGGAAATAAAAAATAAAAAGAAATCATATTTATTAGTATTGCCAAACTTTAGATTTAATAACAAAACTTGAGGGTTTTGTAGAAAATTATCAATATTTTGCAAACATGAACTCAAGTTTTGTAGAAAATTATCAATATTTTGCTAACATGAAATCAAGTTTTGTATAAAAGTTGCACTTGATTCATGAAACGTGAGATAGTGTATGATTTCTTGAAACTCAACTGTATATATGGCAAATATATCATGGCAAATATCTTTTAATTAACGTCTTATGGAAAATGTATTATATCAAATGTACTATGGCAAATGTATTATAGCAAATATCTTATGGTTAATGTCTTATGGAAAATGTATTATAGCAAATGTACTATGGCAAATGTATTATAGCAAATATCTTATGGTTAAAGTCTTATGGAAAATGTATTATGGGAATTTCTTATCGGAAATGTATCATATCAAATGTATTAAAGCAAATGTACTGTAGCAAATGTATTGTAGCAAATGTATTATGGCAGATATATTTTGGCAAATGCATTATATCAAATGTACTATGGCAAATGTATTATAGCAAATATATAATAGCGAATGTAGTGTAGCACATGTAGTATAGCAGTTGTATTATAGCACATGAATTATGACAAATGTATTATGATAAATGTATTAAAACAAATGTAGTATAAAAAATGTATTATAGCAAATGTATTATGATAATTGTATTAAAGAAAATGGGTCATATAAAATGTACTATAGAAAATGTATTATAGAAAATGTTTTATAGCAAATGTAGTATAGAAAATGTGTTATATGAAATGTACTATAGCAAATGTATTATAGCAAATGTTTTATAGCAAATATAGTATAGAAATCTGTTATATTAAATGTACTATAGCAAATGTATTATAGCAAATGTTTTATAGCAAATGTAGTATAGAAAATCTGTTATATTAAATGTGCTGTAGGAAATGTATGAGAGCAAATGTTCTTTAGCAAATGTAGTATGGAAAATGTTATATAAAATGTACTATAGCAAATATATTATAACAAATGTTCTCTAGCAAATGTAGTATAGAAAATGTAGTATTGTAAATGATACAGCTAGCTGTACGTGTGTAGTCTCTCATGTACAGAACAACGTCCGACTATTATTTCCTTTATCTCCAATTTTACTAAAACACATAAATTTTTCAATAATTGATCAAATTTTTCTAAAATTTCTATTCTCTGATAAATATATAGGTTTAACTGTCATCATATTTCAAAGTTATTTAACGAAACATACCTTTAAACTGTTGAAAACATTAAAAAAAATGCGAATGTTTAGAATTATTTTTCTTAAATAAGATTAATCTGGAGATGTAGATCAATAATTGATATCGAGATATAGATCAATAATTGATCCCGAGATGTAGATCAATAATTGATCTCGAGATGTAGATCAATAATTAATCTCGAGATGGAGGTCAATAATTGATTTCGAGATGTAGATCAATAATTGATATCGAGATATAGATCAATAATTGATCCCGAGATGTAGATCAATAATTGATCTCGAGATGTAGATCAATAATTGATCTCGAGATGGAGATCAATAATTGATTTCGAGATGTAGATCAATAATTGATCTCGAAATTCATTACACAAAAGTTCTGACGCTCTACGTAAATAAATAATTTTTCAATCATAAACATAAATAAATTTAAATTAAGAGGTATTTATTAAATCTGTTTTACTATTCATGTACCACAATATAGCACTAATAGCACTAGTTTACTCAATAGTACATCAATATTTATACACTTTTGTACAAACAAAAATTAAATTATTACATAATTTTTGTATTTTTTGTATTTCAAAATATATTTAAGGATTTAAAACTATTTTTTTAACATTGATATGTTCAATCCCTTAGTCTTCATATAAATTAAACGCTTTAAATTTAGATAATTTCCTAAAAATCATATTTCAAGAAAACATAGCTGTAGTAAACAAACGACCTTAGAATTTTAAATTGAAATTACATTAAGAATGATTTAAAACATTAAAACAAAGTTAATTCAATGTATTTTCTACTCTCTTTACACTTGTTGATATGATGAATACTATTTTAAAATCTTTAATTGGAAAAAAGAGGCAGCATGGGGTTTCCTGCATTAAAGGGACTGACGTCATAGTTTCAAGTCTCAACATTTAACTTGAAGTGTTTTATACCCGATTCACAACGGTACACTTTAGCTTTAATCTAAGTAATAATTAATAAAGTATTCCTGTTTTTAGCTTTCATTTTCAGTTCTCTGTGGTGGTAGCAACATACACATTGAAGAAAAGCGGGAAAACTTTAATCTCTTTTAGAACGAAAAACGACAATATCTTCATCATTGTTAATAAATGTTACTGTTGTGAATATAACGGCAGTTCCTTTAAACTTAATGAATTCAAGTAGTGAATACAAAATTTTAATTTCAAAATATTCCATCATATTTAAAGATTACTTTAAAATAAGCTTAAAATATCTGTTTGAAATTGTGTAAAACAATCTAATGTTAGAATATCAAAAAAGATTTTCTCAAACAAATTTAAAAATTAGTGGAATTAAATTTATTTTTCCACTTCTCTTCGATTTATTATTATCTTAGCACAAGTTTTATTGAAAATATTTTGGCGAGCTGACTTGCATGAATTAGGATAATAATTATGATATTAAGGATTTTATTTAATTTTAATTAATTTTAGAAAGTCTTTATCTTATAACAGAGCACCCTCTAAATTACAAAAGTTTATTTCATTAACGTGAACATAAACGTGGATAGATCCCAACTAATATACTAATTGATTGATATGGTTTAAGCACTAAACTATCATATTATTGGCTCAACTACCACCACACAGCTAATAATAAAAATATAATTTGAATTAACTAAAAATTTGTTTTATACATTTTTAATCTTTGTATCTTTACAACCTTATATACCCTTGAAAATTAAAAGTTTGACTTTTTGATCTAAGATAGCATCAATAGCTAATTTGACATATCAAAGCTAGGTTTGAGATATCAGTTAATAAAGGAAGTCTTTGCAACAAACACTAATTTTCTAATCCCTAATCCCAATGTCGGAGAACTTAGATATTTCAAACTATTTATTCTGTTATGATAAAATAATCTAAGTCTAAAATAGCTAACGCTTAGACCATCTGGTTGCAAAAATATAGGAATTGCATAATTCAAGTTTATGGCTAAGACTTAATTCATTTCATGAATAGCCAGTTATAGATTCAAAAAGTAATTTATTACACGGTTACCCACAAAGGATGCGACTTCAGAGAATTCTGTACGAAATAAGTCAATATTTTCTTACTTACATTTGTGTTTTCTGTAACTGTAACTTTAATATTATTATTTTCTTACAAAAAATCATAGAAGACTATCTATATATCTTCATATTTAAAGTTTTTTAGGTCAAAACTGAAGTCTCATCTTTGTGTGTAACCCTGTAGATACTTCTATATCAGCTCTGTGGTATAAGTATAGCCTAGAAAGCAAGTGAGGCAAAATCATATCTTCCTATAAAAGCTCTATGGTTAGATTAGTCTAGAAAGCAAGTGAGGCAAAGGAATATTTCGTCAATGATGCGAAGTTTTTCTTTTGGAACCAGGATAGGGTTCAGTCTCACTTTCCTGTGTTCAGGGGAACCTGGAGAACCTGGAGAACCAGAGACTAGCAGGCTAGAAGAGGAATCTTTTCGGGAACTTCTACACAACCAACACACTTTATTAGAAAAAAAACTCAAAGGGACTGTTAAGGTAAAATGAAGTGGGATACAGACTGAAGCCTAAATTTTAGGAGTTTTATAAGAATTTCCCGAGAGAGGGACATCAGATAGAACTAATATTGGTCGCGATCAACTCCAAAAATGTTTTGGCTTTAGTCTATCTGCCCTTTTATTTTACCTTAACAGTCCCTTTAAAGAGAAATTAAAAGTAATTTAAAGTGGTTCTACTGTTTTAGATAGGAAAGTCCGATTAACAATGGTACCCTTTAAATCTTAGTCTTTGAAAAGTGATGGAGTAATCCCTGTTTTTCCTTCGCAAAATTAACAATTTGTATAGCGTTTACAGTCCCTTTAAAATATTGCTTCTAACCAATATTTTTGAGTGGCATCATCAAATTTATAATAATAAATTTTTGATCAAAATAGGAAAATAAGATTATTTTCTTTATAAAGGAACTGAGTTTCTGTCACAAACTCTGATTTTCTAATAACTAATATATCTTTGCAACCTATAAATGTCTTAAACCTTTGATATTTCAACCTATAAATTTTGTTAGATTAAGTATAAGATTGAAATATTAAAGATTTACACCAAAAGTTACAAAGATATAAGGATTAGAAAATTTTTGTTTGTGCCAAAGTCTCAATTCCTTTGTTTTTAAAATAATAAAAGATAAAAATATTTTATGTACAGTAATTTTTATTTATATGTAAATTTTGTATTGAGTTCTACTTAATGAAATTAACACACGCAATAGTAATTATGCAGTATTAAAGTGAAAGTGGTACATAAGGGGGGTGTTACGCGAGCCATGTCGCGTCTCTGGAGTCTATGAAATGCCCCTGCTCAATGGGGAAAATTTGTTCACCCCTGCAATGAGAGAGCGGTCTGTACAGATGTTTCTGGAAGGAGTTGAATACGGAGACCGGTTTTATTCGTATATTTTGATTTTACTGCGCAGGCGCAGTTTTGTGTCTTGGACAGATTTCATATTCAAAAACGTTTTTCTAGTGTATCGTCGATTAGTAAAAATCTGCTAGTATTTTGTGCTGAAACCCTGGGAATGACTGTGGTAAATATGTTTTTTAAATGTTCTTTTCGTTATATTCAATCTCCATGAGAAATTAGTCTAAAAGTATTAAGAAAATCTTTTATATTGGATATACATGAGAAAATGTCTTTTTGAAGTATAAATAGTTTTCTGTATTAAATAGATGTATAATAAATATTGGGCAGTTCATGGTTTTTTAATGCTGAGGGGTATATTGTTTGTTCATATGCCCTTTTCCTTGAAATTTTTCCATGAAATTAACGTATGTCATTTTTTGTACCTGACTGAAGCTGGGAACCTGTAAATAAAGTTCACGCCTATCCCTGTGTTTTATTCAACATGAGGAAAAGAGAACAACGGGGTGCTTACGGTTCGGTTCCAAGGAGTTCGACACGGTACTATATCTTTATACAAACTAGGGCAACGCCCGTTGCGAAACAGGGGGGAGAGGCACAAAGACACTTTCAGAAATTCTTTCCTTCAATTTGTATGTGTATCTAATAGTTTAAAATATTAAATTTACATTCTTTTATTAATCCATTTTCTTAGGAGAGTCCGATCATTTTTACATCGGTAATTATTTGAATTCTATACATTTAAAAAATCTATAATCAATGATTATTTTCTATTCTTCTAATCTTTTCATTAAATCAATAAAGAACAAAACCAATTCTACAATGTTCAATAGTTCTAATATGAGGAGGGTAAAAAACAATAAATGGGTTAATTTGCTTCAAGAGACAAGTTTGGAGAATATATAGAGTATACAGTATACACTACGCACAAGGAGAAGGAGAATATAGAGAGTATACACTCAACTACACATAAGGAGAAGGAGAATATAGAGAGTATACACTCAACTACACATAAGGAGAAGGAGAATATAGAGAGTATACACTCAACTACACACAAGGAGAAGGAGAATATAGAGAGTATACACTCAACTACACATAAGGAGAAGGAGAATATAGAGAGTATACACTCAACTACACACAAGGAGAAGTAAAATATAGAGAGTATACACTCAACTACACACAAGGAGAAGGAGAATATAGAGAGTATACACTCAACTACACACAAAAGAAGGAGAATATAGAGAGTATACACTCAACTACACATAAGGAGAAGGAGAATATAGAGAGTATACACTCAACTACACACAAGGAGAATGAGAATATAGAGAGTATACGCTCAACTACACACAAGGAGACGGAGAATATAGAGAGTACACACTCAACTACACACAAGGAGAAGGAGAATATAGAGAGTATACACTTAACTACACACAAGGAGAAGGAGAATATAGAGAGTATACACTCAACTACACACAAGGAGAAGGAGAATATAGAGAGTACACACTCAACTACACACAAGGAGAAGGAGAATATAGAGAGTACACACTCAACTACACACAAGGAGACGGAGAATATAGAGAGTACACACTCAACTACACACAAAAGAAGGAGAATATAGAGTATACACTCAACTACACACAAGGAGAAGGAGAATATAGAGAGTACACGCTCAACTACACATAAGGAGAAGGAGAATATAGAGAGTATACACTCAACTACACACAAGGAGAAGGTCAAAATGACATAACGGGTGCGACTTTGCACGTGACACAGAAGCTTTTGATAATTTTACATATTCTTATATTCTTATATTCTTATATTCTTATATACTTATATTCTTATATTCTTATATTCTTATATTCTTATATTCTTATATTTTTATATTCTTATATTCTTATATTCTTATATTCTCATATTCTTATATTCTTATCTATTTTTGTTTTATGAATATTGAGAGGATTGACTAAGCCTGGAATAGGTTTAAAGGAAGGTTTTCAAGGATTTTCTCTGATTTAAGACTTGTTCAAGCCAACTTAGTAAAATACCAGGGTTTAACTTAATATACTTTTCTGTTCTTTTAAACTGTGGTACAGGAGTTTCAACTGGAATATAATCAAAATGAAAAATATCTCTATAGAACTGTACACGTAATTTTTATAGGACTGTACACAGATTTTCAGATGACTTTCCATTTTAAGGGAGGATGTATAATTTAAACCCTATCCCTTTAAAATTTATCTAAGATAAATTGAGGAGATATCGTAGTTTTACCAACTTAAAAGAGTGGAACTCAGTTGATTTTCTCATTCACAGAAATAAAATCAAAATTAAAATTGATCCATATCTAGCCAGAAAATCGAGGATGTCTCATTCATTATTAATCAGACAAATGTTAAAAGTATGATTGTGAAGGAATCAGGAGGTCACTTAAAATTAAGACTATGGAGCTAACCTTTAGCTTATTGCTTAATGTAGGAAGGGTTCATAGATAAATAAATAAACATAGATAGCTTATGTACACAAAATCACCAAGAATTGTACAGTCCGCGAACTCATACTTCTAGGGGTCAAAGTGTATAACTTCAATGATAAGCGGGGTGGTTTGGTGTTTTAATGGATTTCATAATAGAGTGTAAAATAACTCCGGGAATGGAACTATTTGAACAACAATATTTCACTGAGCAATAAATCATATTGACGAGAACTAAAGAAGGACATGAGAAGGACTAAACTAACTTAAATTTCTCTCTACAGAACTCATGTACACCACAAGTACTCAATGACATAAGAACAGCCAATGTTCACAACCGACCTAGGTAATCTATATAATAGGAATATCTTTAAAACATCTTTGTACATTTAGATCTTTCAAGATGAAAAATGTCGTCTAATACGCAATCTATTTTTATCTATGGTTGGGTGGATAATCTGTCTAAAGAACGATCGAATAAAACTTTCTTTTTTTGTTTCGTTTGTCGTTTTTTAGAAAAAAAACTATGGGCTTTAACGAAAGAACAATTCGTGTTGAATTCAAAAACAAAAAAACAAAACAATTGGTTTGTAAAAACGATCGTTTTTGAAAACATTGAAAACGGTCCATTGCTTTGTACAGGTAATCTATTAAAGTTATCATGTCCTGAAGGTTAACTATATAATCGTAGGATTTACAATGAAAAATTATTAACAAAGCTAAAGTTATTACAAGAGAAAGGATCCTTAGTACCATGGACGCCTAGAATATGAATATGATGTCTTTATATACAATTGAAGTATAATGAGCCACTAAGGTCTGTTTATACAGGGTTACCCATAAAAGATGAGACTCTAACTACTACCTAATACTTGAAGACTGTAACGATCTAAAGTCAGATTTAAACAATTTTACTTTATAATTTGACAAAGAAAGAAACAAGCTAAAAGTTGCAGAGAACTGAGAATGTTAGAAAAGGAGGAATTCCATGAATTAATCTCTTGTCTAATCTTTTATGAGTAAACCTGTATTGTACATTGTCCCAATTTATGTGCATTTACAATACCTTGTAAATTGTTCCACTGAGCACTGTATGTATAAATCATATATATTTATAATACCCTTTACTGTATTCAGGGAGTGTCTTGCATTACACCAGCTGAAATGAAGCCTTTCAGTGTCCTAAATCCTACACTTAGTCATTCAGGATACTAATATATCCTGTATTTAATCATCCAGGATACTAATATATCCTGTATTTAGTCATTCAGGATACTAATATATCCTGTATTTAGTCATTCAGGATACTAATATATCCTATACTTAGTCATCCAGGATACTAATATATCCTGTATTTAGTTATTCAGGATACTAATATATCCTGTATTTAGTCATTCAGGATACTAATATATCCTATACTTAGTCATCCAGGATACTAATACATCCTTAAACTTAGTCATCCAGGATGCTAATATATCATAACTTTTCCAGCATATATACTAAACTAATATATACTTTGCAGCGTTTATGCTAATATATCATATTTAGTAGCTTATATACTAATATATTATATGCTTATAGTCTTCCAGAATATTAATATGTCACATACTTATCAGCTTATATACTAATATTTCATATATTTAGCAGCTTATATATTTGGATTAAGGAACTCGGTAGAACCACGGGATTATTGTTAGTTTAAAATTTTAAGACAAGTGGAATTACTTTTTATAAGAAAGTTTAGTTACAGGGATAGCTGGGTTCCAAAGCTAGTACATCATATATTAAAAGCTAGATATATACAAAATAGCTTGGAAACCCAGCTTTGCCTGGTAACTAAATTTCTTTATAGAGTCCAACCCACCCTTGACTAAGAACTACTTCTAAACCAAGCTAAGCCCTTTATAACATTACTGTGGTTTATTTATTTATGAGCTTACTAATTTATTGTATATTTAAGGGCTGTATATCAAAATATCATATATCCAATTCATAATTGATAATATGATAATATGTAACATTGTAGAATGGATAAAGATGCGTGAGCTACTTGCTAATATTCTAAATATTGTAGTGGATGAAATCCCCGAAAGAGGATTATAATATCTGCAAATCAGTAGCGTCGGATCCTGGAACCAGAGAAGACCTACTCATCTTCCTCTCCTTTATACACTGGTTATTTATCATGTATTTACATTTAGAAGTAATAAATGTACTTCTAAAGTGGTGACCCCAGACATCAATGAACCATGGCCGAAAACACAGCTTTCTGGTCAGAAACAGCTCAAGAATTAAACGAGGCTGACAATCTCAAGCTTTTACTACTTAATCACAAATTCACTATTCCTTCATCCTAAAATTAGCTTCTCCTGGACTTAATAAGCTAAACCTTAGCTATCAGGAGCTAATCAGCAAAACAGCTACTTTTGGAGCTATCAAGCAACTCAGCTATCCATCTTTAACCTACTCGTAGATATTCTTGAAGCCTGTTCTCTACAAGGTTGATCATGACGTGAGGAGGGGGGCAGATCAGAAATTCACAAACAACTATCTATCATCATCAAAACTCCTTCTACTTCTTTTCCGTAAACACTTACAAGGAGATAAGTATCAGTCTCGACTCCCTCCAAGGACTTAAGGGGGACTTCTGTAGTGGATGAAATCCCCAAAAGAGGATTATAATATCTGCAAATCAATAGTGTCGGATCCTGGAACCAGAGAAGACCTACTCATCTTCCTCCTTTTATACACTCGTTATTTATCATGTATTTATGTATCATGTATTATTGTAGAAGCAATTAATGTACTTCTAAAATATTTTATTTATGTGTATAATTTTTTATATATTTAGGTTTTTTTATCTACTGATACTCAAATTGATTGAATTCAAAGTTTTATTTTGACAGTTTTCAATTTTGAAATTTCTAGGAACAGACTACATTTTTGAATAAAAATAGAATTCAACGTTCCTGCATAAACTCAATAAATTTTGATTTTCCAGTTTTTTTTGTAAAATATCATGTTATACAGAAAATCATTTATTAAAATAATTTCTTTTTTTATAGATATTTAAGCAAAATAAAAAATGTTTAAACTTCCTTCCGTCGTACTTCAAATCATAAACTTCAAAGAAAACATGATTGTCTAAGTTTTTTTAATATTCGATATGCACTCTTAGTAATTTTTGTCTTTAATTTAAACTTCCTTAAATTAATATTAATAATAAAGTGTGTTGCTTGAATGCCACGTATGACTCCTGCCTAAAATTCTTAAATCGTCGTCTTCGTTTCTGTTTCGTCTGTGGTTGTCGAGGCGAAGACATCAAGTATCTGAAATTTTTCAATCAATCATGTCTTTATTATGTTATATTAGCAAAGAAGTTAAATAAAAATTATATTCATGTTTTTAAAAACGTTCGCACAAATAGTAAACATCAAACTGACTTAAAGGGACTGTGAGCGTAATTTCTAGTGAACCTCCAGCGCTTTCGAAGATTAAATTTAAATCCAACAACTTGATCAGTCAAAGGTTTTAAGAAAGCCATTGTGAATCCACGCAAATCTGCCCCTTTAGAAAAAGTAAGTTCAGCCCATATGAAGCATAAAGTCTGACCGCGTCAACCTTGTTGCACCGGCAAGTCCTGTCCATAGAGCTAAGTACGGTACAAACTGGGAACGGAAAGGTTGACCCGGCTTGGAAATTCAAATGTACCACGGCTGCCCGTGAATCATACATTGTCATCTTTGTAAGGAAAGTCACTCGAAAATCCGCTTACTGTCCCTTTAAAGAAAAAGAGAAAAATGAGAAAGATGTTTCTTGAGGGAAACCGAAAATAACGGAATAACTTGAGAAGTGTAGTGTATGCCAATCTTAATCTACTAGACATGTAAAGTATGAGATAAGTACTTTTCTTTTCAGTATAATATTGAAACATCATCATATTGTCAACACAAAGAAGTCTCTTTACATAATTTACAGTTTCTGAATAATTCAGAGGAAAGAAATAATATATTTAAAATAAAAACTTCATTAATTCGAATGTAAAAAGCAGAATTGTTGTTGTTCTAAAAAAGTCCACAACAAGAAAAACTAAAGTGTAAATAAAGTTTTTTTTTATAATTTTAAGAGACTCCCCAAAAACTGCAAGGTCTTACAATTCCTGAAATAATTTTCCCACTAGCTTACTTCTTATACATTATCCAAATTTTGACTATAAATAGTAGATAAAATTCTGTGTGAAGCAAAACCAATCGTGAGGCTTAAAAATAATTTGCATAGAGTAATAAATGCAAACTTTTAGAGGAAAAAATTTTGAAGTACAGAAACTTTTTAAAACCTTATGAAGCCTACCAAAAAAATAAAATTTCTAATTTTTTACTATTACCAAGGGTTCCCTAAGCCAATATTACCTACAAAGCATCCAGATCGAAGGCAAAATTGGTCGAGAGAATCAGGGGTTAAGTAAAATTTTAATATTTTCCGAACAAAGTAGGTGTCCATAATTTCATGGTCTTAAAAGATGAACATGCGCAACTTCGCAGAGTGGGAGGTTAATTTACTTATTTTTCTCCTGGGACGTTAGGTACAGGGGATATTAGTTCCAAAACTAACACTTGGCTCATTTCTAAAACTGGGTGTTAGAAATGGGCCAAATCTGTAAAGTTCTATTTTTCAAAAGTATATATCTTTAAATCCAGGTCGAGTGGAACAAAATTACACCATATATTTGTAAAAATAATGGCTAAGACTATACATTGAAACAATAAATGTCAATTTTAAACTAATAATAAGTTGAGAGAATTAGTTTTTGTTGATTCTTGATTTCATTTTCGAACATATCCCTATTTTGAAACAATTACCGGATTTCAGCTAATGCGACATTAGCTTTTTCGGAACATATCCTGGTTTTGAGACAATTACCGGAATTTCATATCAATGTCAATTTTCAAGCATTTACGCACTTATTAAACAAAACAAGATGTTTTGATAAGGTAAAATCAGTGGCGTAAATAAGGGGGGTTATTGGGGTTATTTAAAAAAAAAATTCGGCGCGCTTCGCGCGCCAAATTAAAAATATTTACCCCCCCCTACAGAATCCTTATATCCGCCCCTGGGTAAAATATAAACAAAATAGAAAATAAAAACAAACTGTTCTTTTATAATTTAAAAATCATTACAGCATTGAGAAATCAAAATATTAATATCATTTATTCTTACAATATAGATTTAACTAGAAATGCGGGAAACTGCTTATTTAAAATGCTTGAAAATAAATCATCCATATTCTCTAATTTAACAGATAAAATGTGAAAACTTAGATTCTAGAAATAATTCAGAGGTTAATTTAGTCTTCATAAGATATTTTTTGTTTTCAGAGATTCATTTTTGTAAGTTATGAACGTGAGTTTTGTTTTGAATTGTGGATTATACTCAAAAACGGAAAAGTGGGTTTTGTATCAAAAACGCGACAATGTTTCAAATTCAGGATATGTTCGAAAATGGAAAACCTAACATTGTCTTGAAAACGGTCAAGAGCTTTAATATAAGAATTAAGAACTCCTATTATAATTTTGATTTTAAAGAAAGTTTAAGATTGATAATTATTGTACTAGTCATGTTTAATAAAATGTTAGTTATAGTTTTTAATATCGAATTTTACTCTGAATATATGGGACGGGATCCCAAAAACCCAGTCTTTCAATTTGTGCCCATTTCTAGAACTCAGTGTTAGAAATGGGCAAAGTGTTAGTTTTGGAACTAATGTCCCCTGAAGTAACCTAACATCCCACTATTTGGGGAATCAAGGGCCGGTAATGTTGGTCAAAAGGCAGTTAGAAAGAATACTATTTATATTTCATAGTACCTTAATTGTGTTAGGTGATCTGGCAGTTTACCCTGACCCTGCAGGGTGGTTAGTATACTTTCTTCTTCACTAGATGGTAGTAAACCCTTTCCAACAACACACTTTTCAAACTCATCAGCTGACAGTGTAAGGAAGCGGACTAGGTACTGGGCACCATTTAAAGATGAGGCACCGTTAACCTTAGCCCAGCCAAGCAGGGCATTCACAATATCTATTTCAGATTTCACACGCAAGGTGTCTCTACTTACAATCATATTAACAACACTAATGTCAAGTTTTTTAAACTGTTCACTGCCAAACACTTGTTTAGCATTTCTATCTACAAACCTGAGACAACTTGACATAAGTTCATGACAGCTGTCACTACAGCTGTCTGTTGAACTGCTGTTAAAAGCTGGCTTTGACTGATCACTGGATTTTACTAAGGCACTGGATTGGGAAGCAAGTAAAGGGCGTCTAGAGGGAGAAGAATATGGAGAAATAAACCTAGTCTCAGCTGAGTCCGGCGGGACTTTTTCCTTAGCGGGAGCTTTTGTTATTGTTGGAGCTTCAAGCTCCCGCTCCCGACACAGCTGACATGCTTGAAGGAGCAGCAGAGAAGATTGATATGAGAGTTGTGAGGAGAGGAGAGGGGTAGCAGCAGCAACGAGGTCGGGAACATTGTATCTAGTTTACATTTCAAATATAATTCTTCACGTCTTTTCTCAAATTTCTCATTTAAGGATTTTTAGAAAATCTAAACATTCCTGCAATTGTCTTTAAAGATCTCTATCTCTGCAGTCTTGGGCCGAATTCAATGAATTTGAACTAGATCGCTGAAGTACCAATACAACTGATCAAATCTTTAACTAAGCGATTCAGAGTTCAGGTGTTATGAGGATTTGAATCGGTGATTCAAAAGTTTAATCGCCAGTTGGTAGTTAAGCAACTTCAAGGATATTATTGATTCAAAGGAATTTAGACATTGTCCTCAAATCCAATTTTCTAATTCCCATATCTTTGCAACCTGATGGTGTAAACCTTTTTTATTTTAAACTTTTTAATCCAACAAAATTTATAGTTTGAAATATATCTAAGGTCTCTGACATTTTGCTGCAAAGATTTAAAGATCAAACAATGGAATTAGCTGGCACGGAACGAAACCTTATTTAAGTTTATTATTTACACAACTTGAAACTTGGGAAATTAAAGGAATTAAATGAAAATTATTAATTAACAAAAAAAAACATTTTTTTCCTGAGAACTAAATCTCTGTTTTCAAAAGTTCACTAACTTGGAAAGGCTTAGTTTCATTCTTGTTATCAGCTTAGTTGATTATTTTCTACTGGGGGTTCTCTATAAAACTGACTTGCAAATTTATGCATCATGAGAAAAAAAAAGAAATTGCCAAAACTTAAAATGATGTTTCTTTCTGTCCCTTTTAAGTGGTATAATAATTAATTAGATTTAAAATAGATTTAATATATATTATCCAGTAAACATCCATATCAACCCAGATTATGAATATTTATAAAAACAAATTAGCTAATATCAAGGTCACTAGGAAGCCCTGCAAGTGACAGTTAATTTCCATATTTAGACGCTAGTGAAAAATTGTTCAAAAAAAATTCAAAAGGATAATTTTCTTGTAGCTCTCTTCTTAATAAAACGTAAAATTTTTAGTTGATTGAAGAACACAAAGTCGTCTTTGGCCTTAGAAATTGTTTGCGGCATTCTTTTAGGAATATAAATTATTTCGTTCAGAATGCGCGCAACCTGTTTCTAAGTCTTCAATCAATTAAGCTTATTCCGATTTATTTAGAATGGGAATGTATAAAAACGTTCCAAGGTACATTTTTTAAGACAATTGAATCTGATGATTCCTTTTTCTCACTTTAGGGCCCTGGTCACGTGGATTTAACGGTTCTGTCAATATTCCAGAAAGCTGTGACTTTTGATCACAATTTGACCTCTTAAACGTAATTTTTAGCCTTTTATCTTTTATACTTTTTTGTCAGCATATACGTTTTGAATGAAAAGTATAAAACAAAAAAATCATAAGTTTAAAGATTGTTTAATCATAAACCAAAACGCGTATGATTTAAAATAGAAGAAACCGACTGCCTCTCACACTGGTTAGTCTGATGTGTGGTATATCTTTTAAAACTACACATGATGAATGACCTGTTAGCTTCATTTTATGTTCATAAAACTTTATGAACAAAAATTCAAATAAAAAGAATAATAAATTTTCAAGAGTAAACTGTTGAATTATATTTGAAGTTCCTGTGTCCGGCCCGAAAGGCAGCAAAGGCAGATTCAAAGTTTTCAAGGTGAAGATTGTTGGAGAGGAATCTAAAAAAGTGTTTTTTGAAAACGAGTTTCCATAACACCGAATAGGCATGAAAGGAATTGAGTCTTTGTCACAAACTCATATTTTCTAATCCCTTTATCTTTGTTGTAGACCTTTGATATTTCAAACTACAATTTCTGTCAGATTAAATAATCTAAGTTTTAAAAACACCTTTACACCTTTAAGCTGCAAAGATGAAGGAATTAGAAAATTTAGAATTGTGACAAAAACTCAATTCCTTTATTCAACTTGTAGCATGATTTCTTAGTAAAGATTTGTTACATATATATGTCTGCAAGGTTCAGGGTTAACTGATTTTTTGAATTTCCAAAATGGAGGATCATATTTATCAAATTTATGAAAATCCCTAAGAGCACCCCCCCCCCCCCACCTCTAAAAACACACACTCTGTGTCTAGAAGAGAAAGAATAAAATGTTGAACACATTTAATTAAGAGTTTTGGCAAGAGAACACTGATTCCCACCAGGAATATTTGTAGGATATATTACACGACAATATATTCTCAATTTTTTTATGAAACTATTGTGTAATTTATCATTCTTCCTTATTTCATCTTGAATTTCATAATGAACGTGATATAAAGTTAAATTAGCACGTTTGCTATAAAGTTTTGATTGGTTCCCGGATTTTCTTCAATTAGGAAATTAGGATATTTCCAAAATATTTTTTTTTTTTTAATTGAAATGAAAATAAAATTGAAATCAACTTTATTATTTTGACTTCAGATTTTTTTCAAAGCTTATTTAACCTAGAAATAGCCATTGAAATAGGGCAACTACACAAGCGTTTCATAAAATTACCCATAACACTGATATTTTGTCCCGTACTAAAGCCCGGGACAAAATTAAATCTGAAAAGGCTTGAACCTTATCGATAAAGAGAAAATTTCTGTCCAAAAACTTTATATCACTGCGAACCAAAATAACAGTGTTATAAATAGCTATTCTTTTTAGTGTAAAATATATTTTCTAATGTAACAGTATTTTATTTGCATAAATTGCACGTCGCAATGAATTTAGCTCTAAAAGGTGTTCAGAGCTTAAAATTTTAGAATTGTGGATATCGAGATTAATGCTTGATCTCCTCTTTTTCTTAATCTCCAGATTAAATAATGCTAGCTTGTTATCCTCTTGTTATCAATCTCCAGATTAATTAACCGATCGGGATTAAGGACATTTCATTCTAAAGTTTTCAGCTCTGTATATTTTTTTAAAAACCAAAATGTTATCTAGTTTCGCGGATTTTTCGGGTTTAAATTGAGGTTTCAAATATTTTTGATAATACAAATTTTGATGAGACAACTGACAAACTTTTATATTATGTTGTTATGTGTTTGAAAAACATAATTGGGCGTTATTGGTTCTGTTGTTTTTATGTTTAAAAGTATAAAAAGTATAAAAAGATGTCTGCAGTAAAGAAATTAAATGCTCTGAAAGCAGTGCTCCCATGGTTTAAACAAGACATAAAACAAAATAATTCCGTGAATTTGGATTTTCTCCAAAGGCAGAGATTTCACGAGAATCATCAACATTTATCCGATTTCTACAGAACTTTATCTGTATTCCTTGTTTAGTGAAGGTTTTAGATATACAACAGTTGGGAGGGGGNGGGGCTTTTTTATTTTATTTGCAGGATAGCTCAGTATTTTTGTGACTCCCAGTACAAAACAGTTTTATCTTAATTGAACAAGAAACGTAGTTACTAATTACCCTATAATTATAAAAAAAATGTAAGAAAAAAATTTGCAACAACAACAAAATATGCAATCTGTGTTAGAAGTTTATCTGGAAATATGCAAATATTACCGTGCAATATTGGTTTGGATAGCGCTTATAGTCGATATACACAATTCGTCAACTTTTTAATTGAAGAAGTTTTTAGACGATTTACTGAAATTGAATTAAAATTAATGCTATGGATGACCCGACTAATGACTGACTGCCATTTTAATATTATTTACTTCCAACATGATTTTCAAACTGAACATAAATATAGATCGAATATTAGTTGACATTTAAAAAATAAAACTATTTTTAATTCTATATTTAATAGATGAAATTTGCTAATGCATTTATTATTATTTTTCAAATGGTTGATAACGTTTAATTTTATTTTCTACATGACAATACTGAATAAAATGTTATCAGCATCAGTAATAATAAATAATCGTAACCAAGACACTTCACAGAGACGACTGTATACAAATTTACTAATTTTAAAGGGACCGTTCACTTATTTGGGTAATTTTAGGGTAAACTAAACAGTCTATTCGCTGTTGATTGGTAATAGTCTTACTTTTCAAAGACAAAGATTCCATATAACTCTCAAACTTCAGAATTATGATTCCTGCACCCTTATCACAAGGTTTTACAGTGATCACCCGGTTTCTCTGAAGACTGATCAACTCTTTAAGAGCTTTTAATTCTCCAGGAGGTAGGTTAGGTCTGATTTTATTTCTATTCTCTGGGTCTAGGATTTCTGATAAAATATAATAAATTTAGATGTTATTGGGCTGCTGTTACTGAAAAAAAAACAATCAAATGTGTTTATAGAGAGAGACCGTCCCTTTCCGCTAAAATTCTGAACGAAAAATCGGCGTTTTCTCCGGCCACAGTTGTTTTTGAAAAGTAAGACTATTACCAATCAACAGCGAATAGACTGTTTAGTTTACCCTAAAATTACTCAAATAAGTGAACGGTCCCTTTAAGTTTAAGGACGTCGACTTTAATTATTGGGTAATTGTCTGTATCATGTTTGGTTTTAGGACCAAAGTTTTTGTGTCTCAATAATTATAATCTTAAAGGGACTGTAAACGTAGTTTTAAATGAGCCTCATTCAAAAATAACAGTGCCCGATTCACAACGATACCCTTGAAACGTTCATCTGATCAGTAATGCGGAAGATATTGTTGTTTGACTAACTTAATAAGTTTTTAATTCTGATAGTTCATATACATGTTTCTGCAGTAGAAATGCGCAAATCACTTTTGTTAAGAAACCCAACAGAAAATAATCAATTTCCAAAGTTATAAATTAACATGGATAACTAATTCATGGAGGTTACTTTAAATTTCGGATACAGTCCCTTTATGATGTGAAAATATTACCGTAAAACAATCTCAAAACTGACACAGCCTGTCATTTTTAGCACGCACTCAAATCATGTTTCTGAAATATAAAAGCTAAATTATTAAAATAAACACTGTTAGAAAAGAAAACTATTGTATCCATAATATCTTACTGTGGAAAATATTTCTAACTTGAGAACTTTTTTGAAATTACAAACTGAATATTAGGATAAATATCACAAAGTTTTAATGTTTTGATTTTATTAAAATTGTAAAAATTAAAATATTCGGAAGACTACTGTTACATCAAATAAATGTTACACAGTAAATAATAATGGTCATACAAATACTAACGTTTAAAGCTTTAATAAATTCCTGTTTTCCTCTGGCTTTTACTCAGAGGGCTGAAGCAACGTCTTCTAAATTTAAATTTTGCTGTTTTTTTTTGTAGAAAAGTCAAAACAATGGAACCTGCACTTTTTAGAATAGAACCTCACATGACTACAAGAATTGTTAATCATAAATGTTCCCTCTAAAAATACTTATTTCAAAAATTTGTTTCTGAAAATACACTTATTAACAAGAAAATCTAACATTTCTTGTTAAAATATTTGTTAAAAAAGGGTCAGCTAAAGTTAAAATTAAAAACAATAATTTGTATCCAAAAAAAAAACGCGCAATGTGTTCTGGAACAAAAGTCTAGAATTGAATCCGTTTCTTACTCTTATTTGAACCCCCGCTCCCTAAATCATTTTCAATTTGACAAAACATTTTCATTCGAAAAAAAATGGAGGATATATAGAATTAAGAAGATGAGATGTTCAATGTATAAGATGGAAGATTAAAGAATATGAATAATTCATGTTCTTTAGATTAATTCAATCTGAATATGTTTCGAATATATTTGCCCGATATTCAAAATATGCATATTAAAAACATTTAGATATTAAATTAAATAGATAAATGATTTGGCATAAAACAATATTGTAAATTGTGACTAAGTTTTCTTTTTCAACAATTTCATCGAATTTTCTCTTTTTCCTTTCCTTCGTGTAGTCTGTGTTCTAAATTAATTCATTTGTTTGCTCACCAAACAAAGGTATTGAAAAATAAATTTTATTTTCTAGCAGCTCCTTCCAATCCTTTCAGCTAGGCTTGATGAGATGGGGGAAGGCGGGAAGGGGGAAGGGGATGCAGGGGAGATTGGAAAATCTAGAGTCTGTATACTAGGGATATAAGTTCTTCAAACAACAAGAATCAAACAAACAAAACCTATTAGAATCTAGAGTCTGTATACTAGGTATACAAGTTCTTCTAACAACAAGAATCAAACAAACAAAACCTATTAGAGTCTAGAGTCTGTATACTAGGTATACAAGTTCTTCAAACAACAAGAATCAAACAAACAAAAGTTGGTGATTGAACACATGTAAATAGGTATTGCTTTAGCCTACGTAACGTACTGCAGCATGGGTAGGATCAAGGTACTAATGCAAGGAAAGTTAATTGTGGTTTTGTTTACTCTGCGTACATATTGAAATCAGTTTTCTCTAGGCTGAATTTGTAACTTAAGAATAAATGCATCAGGGTTCGTCTAGTATCCGAGGAGGTAAAAAGCATTTAATTTTGATAATTTTGATAATTCATGCAATAGTTTCCTATAACCAGAATATTTCATAGATTATTTTTGTGAAAATGGATTCCATGTCAGGCTGTGACATCCGTCTTGTGCTTACTTCTCCGCCCAAAGTCAGTACACTGCAGTACAAAAAATGCGTACATTTCTGAAATAACTTTCCTTACATTAGTACCTTGGATATGGAAACAAGAAATGTAAGAAATTTGAATGTCTTAATATTGTACAAAAAAAGTTTAGCATGTAAAAGAAACAAGAGAAATTACAAAGTGGCGACGTAATATTTATGTAAAGTAGTAATAACTCCGAGTCTGTTTGTCTGTCTGTCTGTTTGTCTGTTTGTTTGCATGTCCGAGCCTACCTATAAAACTTATGAACTCGGTATAACCACGGGAATGTTCTTTGATTAAACATTAAAGAAGAGTGGGACGACTTTTAAAGAGAAAAATTAGTTTTCAGACAAATGTGGGTTTCCAAGCCAGTATATAATATTTCTTATTGATTTTTTCCGCTTATTACTTATTAATGTATAATATTATTAATCATAAAAAGAAATATTACTTATTAATCTAGTTTATATAATATAAAAATAAATATTCTTTCTTTCTCAAGGAATTATATTCAGGTGTGGAATAATATATCGGTTTTTTTCTTTTTTGCAATATATCTTGCATTCATAAAACCTTTAATTCTTGCTTTTATCTACGAAAAGTTTTTATCGTATATTATCAAAAAATTTCGTACAATAACTTTAATTGATCTGTAAATATTTAAAAAAGAGATATTTCAGTGAAAATGTTACAATCCTGGCCGGCTTATCATAAATTATCCTTTTTCATCCCGACCCTAATCCTTTTAACTATAAAACCGTCTCAGGTATCGAATTAAATTTTGGGTCAAATTGGTTCAGCCGTTTTTACTGTTATTGGAATTTAGATAATTCTAGGCTTTTAGGGCGCTTCTCGCCCATCTTCTATTTCAACTTTTAACTGTGGCTTTATCTGTATAAAACAAAAACAAAAAAGTTTGCGGATTTCATTATATTTTTTTCGCGCATTTTCAAAATCTTACAAAAATAAAAAACTTTTAAACACAAATTTTTAAAATTTTGATCATTCATAAACCTTCCCTAGATGTCCCACAACAAATTTGGGCCCGATCGGTTCAGCCGTTTTGACATTTATTGGATACAAACAGACAGACAAACAGACAAACAGACAAACAGACAAGCCAAATTTATATATAGATGATAAGCACTTTTTAATAGATTAATGTATAGCAACACTAACAAAATATCATAAAGATCTTTTAATTAATACCAACCAACCGTCCTGCCTCAATAAACGTTGATTACAAACAGAAGAGTTTACTTGAAAGACTGATTAATGACTATAATGAAACCAAGAATAGAACTTCTCTTCAGGATAGATCTAGAATGATGCTACCCACAATACAGATATTGCATTTTCATTGAAACCTGAAAGATACCAAAGTCACTCTAAAACTGGCCAGAGAGAGAAGGTAGAATTATGTAACATATCTGGTACGACATTGTGACCTCTTAGCTCCTCTATGTTTTCGTTTAATACAAAGCTATAATAAAATCTAATTTATCCGGTTACATGTTAAAAATTTAAAACATTTTTATTCTCCCCAATATCTCTTAAATACGATTATTTTTCTCTTTACGCATAAAAATAAAAAGAAAGAATTTAGATATAAATTCAACATATTGTAATGAAATATTGTTTTGCCAAGATGAAAACCTTTCAACAGTGGTTGTATAATTCTAAACAGTTGCTGATATTGAACCCTAAACCCGTAATTCTAAACATTTTCTGATATTGAACGCTAAACCCGTAATTCTAAACATTTGCTGATATTGAAGGCTAAACCCGTAATTCTAAACATTTGCTGATATTGAACACTAAACCTGTAATTCTAAACATTTGCTGATATTGAACGCTAAACTTGTAATTTTAAACATTTGCTGATATTGAACGCTAAACCTATAATTCTAAACATTTGCTGATATTGAACACTAAACCCGTAATTCTAAACATTTGCTGATATTAAACGTTAAACTTGTAATTCTTAACATTTGCTAATATTGAATGCTAAACCTATAATTCTAAACATTTACTGATATTGAACGCTTAACTTAAAATTTTAAACATTTGCTGATATTGAACGCTAAACCTGTAATTCTAAACATTTGCTGATGTTGAACGCTAAACTTGTAATTTTAAACATTTCCTGATATTGAACGCTAAACCCGTAATTCAAAACATTTGCTGATATTGAACGCTAAACCCGTAATTCCAAACATTTGCTGATATTGAACGCTAAACCCGTAATTCTAAACAGTTGCTGATATTGAACGCTAAACCCGTAATTCTAAACATTTGCTGATATTGAACACTAAACCTGTAATTCTAAACATTTTCTGATATTGAACGCTAAACCTGTAATTCCTAAACATTTGCTGATATTGAACGCTAAACCTGTAATTCTAAACATTTTCTGATATTGAACGCTAAACCTGTAATTCTAAACATTTGCTGATATTGAACGCTAAACCTTTAATTCTAAAAAAGAGCTAGCGCCAAATCTAGCGGACTGACGTAAAAAATTGTGTAACGTAAAATTTATTTATGTGCTTTCGAAGCTTAAAAACGGAGAGACACTTTTAAACAAATTTACAAAACTATAGATTTAGCATTTCTCTGAGTAGGCTGCACAAATATTATTGAATTAATTAAATATTTTTGGCACATCAATATCAATCTTTCTTAGCAAAGAAACCACAAATAATTCCTTTGATTAATTAAAAATGTTGGAATTTATCATCTCAGATATATCAGAACTAATGTAAATAACAATTAAAGTCAGATCTGTGACATTTAATGAAAAAGTTTAAAAAATAAAATAAAAGTCATGAAGGAAGTCCAACTAAAGAGTGGATGAACATTGTTTTATACAAAAAATAGAAAAACAAGAATAAAGAAATACTGACTTATAAGAGAAGATTATATAAAAACAAAAGTATTTTTCATAATCTTAAATAAAATAATGTAAAAACAATGTGAAAAGATAATACTGAATAAGTATTCAGAAAATGAAAAAAATAACAAGTCTAAAAATAGAATAGCATAAATATAAATCAGGGTGAGCTAGAAAAACGGGTACAAAAATATATTTCTGTTATGAAAAAAAATGTAAATATGTTAACAAAAAAATAAGTTTTTTATAAAATCTTTTTTTTTTGTCAAAAGCAAAGCAAAATTTTCCTATGTACGTAGTCACTACGTAGTCAGTACGTAAATAAATAAAATATTTATAGAAAAAAAATAAGATTTTTCTTGCCATTGTAAATATAATGAGAGAAAACAGAATTTAATTTTGACAAATTAAAATCTATTAATGTGTGTTCCCCATAGGAAGGACAGATATATCTCCACTCTAC